CAAGACCAGCCTGGCCAACATGGTGAAACCCCATCACTAAAAATATAAAAATTAGCCAGGTGTGGTGGTGGGTGCCTGTAATCCCAGCTACTCGGGAGGCTGAGGCAGGAGAATTGCTTGAACCCAGGAGGCAGAGGTTGCAAAAGCTGAGATTGTGCCACTGCACTCCAGCCTGGAGGACAAAGTGAGACTCCATCTCAAAAAAAAAAAAAAAAAAAAAAAAGGCAAGCTTGACTGGAACACAGCTGCACTTATTTGTTTATATATTGCCTATGGCTCTTTCATGCTGCAACAGCAGACTTGGGACCATCTGCCCTTTCACAGAATGAGGTTGTCAACTCCCAGAGGACTGCTACATGGAACTTCCCCACCTTCATACTCCTGATGCCTAAATCCTGAAGCCCTAGGCTCTGGCGAAATAAACACAGTGAAATAGTAAAATGATATTTACTAAGAGCCTCTAACGATCTAGGATAGGGAACTCTAGTATAATGCTAAGGGTTAAGTACATGAAATTGTAAATTCTGTCCACTTACATCACTGCAAAATGTACATGCATGAAAAAAGACCGACAGGCAATAATACATCAAAAAGTGAATACTAGTTGTCCTTACATGGTAAAATCTTGGGTAATTTTTTTCTACTTTTAACTTTTTAGTAAATTTCTGAAAAGAATGTATATTTCATTTTTAATTAGAAAATAAATTGGCTTTTCAAAATGAAAAAATAAAACCGTTACCCTAAAAACATACGTAATTACTGTCTGACAAACTATCTCACTCTTCCATTAAAAAAAAACAAAACAAAACCTGTTGGTTTTTAACTTGGCTCACACAAAACTACACATCGCACTTGCTAATTCTCTAATGAATACAGTCCATTACCACTCACAGGCTACAGCCAGCCAGCAAAATGTCATGTGCAACCCAATTTCAGCACCTCGATGTGGGAGAAAGCAGCTGACTGTCAAAGAGCCGCCCCTGTGACTCCACTCAGTTGCTCCAGGCCGTGGTTTTCTGATGGCCACTGTCTGCAAGTGTGGCATATTGATTCCCACGTCCCGCTTATGGGAACTGGATCAGATTGTTGTTCACTGCACTTCCTACTAAATGCTTATTTTTAAAAATCTGACTGTGTCCTAAAAGGATCTCAAGTGCTACTGGGGTAACGCCTTGTGTCTTGGTAGAGAGAAAGGGCATTCCCTAATTAGAGGGCAGGCACCCATTTTAGAAACCATGAAACCAACAGCCCTCAGTGCGAAAGCATGCTTCTTCATTTTTATTTTTTTTAGAGATGGGGTTTCCCTGTGTTCCCAGGGCTGATCTCAAACTTCTGGGCTCAAGTGATCCTCCTGCCTCAGCCTTCCGAGTAGCTGGAACTACGGGGCGCACGGCCACATCTGGCCCAGGAGTCTTTAGGAGTGCTCAGCTGTGGGTGGAGGGAAGCCAAGTCCCAAGCCCTTCCCACTCATGGCAGAAGAACACAGTGCCCGAGAGAAACCCATCAACTCAACGAATCGCACTGGGTTTGGGACAGGTGCACCGAAGTGGGGTGACGGGGGAGTCGTGGGAAGGTAGAGGTGCCATTTGTCTTATTTTCTCACTCCCTCCCTGCTCCTCCACCCACTTGCTGCCTGAAATCTTGCAAAAATGCCCCAGAGGGTCCCATGAAGTACAGCATCCAGCCCAGAGCAGGCAGGGTCTAAAGGCAGAGCTGGGGCAGTGCTGATTCGGGACTGTGTCCTAAAAGAATCTCAAGTGCTACTGGGGTAACGCCTTGTGTCTTGGTAGAGAGAAAGGGCATTCCCTAATTAGAGGGCAGGCACCCATTTTAGAAACCATGAAAGCCGGGAGTTAGGGCACTGAAGCAGTTGTGCAGGAAACCAGGAGAAGGGGACGGGAAAATGAGTGGAAATGAGGCCTGTTCCACGGCAGTGTCCACGTGCGTCTGTGGAAGCTCCAGCCTACAGGCCCCCGGGGGGTTTTCCATCTTTCTGCCCTCATCTTTTACCAGCTCAAGACTGCACTGATATGATAACACAGCCTAATTATCTCCAAGGTCTCCCTATCATCACTTGGACCCTCTTCCTAAAACACGGTCCTTATTAAGTCATTTTTCTACCCAAACACCTTCAGGGGCTCTCTCATGCCAGAGTCCCAAGAGCAGTCAAGGTCCCCTGGCCAGCATTCAAAGTGCCCACTCTCGGAGCTCAACCTCACTCCTGGAGAAACCTTCCTCTCAAGTCCTACCTCCTCCAAGCAGCTTTCTGGAACCCTGTGCCCTCGGCCGTGGTTCTCTGTCCTCTGGGAGCACAACAGCCCCTGGTGCCATCATTTACTCTTTGACCACACATGGCCGTGAAGGGCTCAAGTTTTCTTTGTCTCGCATGAAGCACCCACTGAAATCATGAATTTTCAAGCCACATCTTAGTCCCTCAATCAGAGGATACATTTTTTGAGGGCAATACGCTTCTCAGCATCTTCTATAGTGGTCAGCATGGGTCGTATTACGTACACAGTTGGTACTGAAGAAATTAGTTTTTGGGCAATGCACGAATGAATTCCTGAGTCATGTGGACCAGTCTCTTCCTGGGGTAACAGGAAATGGGCATTCATAAGCCTTTCTGGACAGGGATCAGACATAAAGAGTTGAAAACAACACTCGTGAAGGAGCGAGGCTACTGAGGCCCAAATAAATGGCCGGGAGGACTACAGTGGGGTGTGCACCGGAGGCCCTAGGAAAGGAGAGAGGTGGGAAACAGAAAGGCTGGGAGATGCAGAGAAGAGACAGAGCCCCCAAAAGACTGTCTTTTCAGCACTCTTAAAAAAAAAAACGTTTCAGGTGATGGATATCCCAGTTACCTCGATTTGATCACTAACTAATTGTATACAGTATCAAAATACTGCATGGACCCCCCAAAATGTGATATATCAATTTAAAGAATACAAAAAGATTTCATTTTAAATTACCCAGTCTGTTGTATCTGTTACAGCAACACGAAACAAAGACAAATAAGAAAAGGCACTGTGAATGAAGACCCAAGCAGAATGAGCCGGGGTTGCGGGGGGGGCTGTAACGTGTGCCTCACAGACTGGTGCGTGCAGAGATCTGCGTTCAGAAAGGACTCACCAACACAGCATGCGTAACAGGAACGGAACGCAGCTCCAAAACCATGTGGCTTCGGGTGAGCTGCCTCAAGAGGGTCTTCCACCTTACCAGATGTGCTGAGGTCGGAGGCCTCCCATTAAGTCCCGCTTGACACAGGCCCTCTTAGTTGGAGGGCTTCCAGCTCTCCCAATTTTGGGGAGAGCATTTCTTTGACCTTCGGGTATTTTCACCTCTGCCATATTCTTGTTTTCTCAGCACGGGATGCCTCCGGTCTGCATGTTGGGGCCTCTCTCTCTTCTCTGCATCTCCCGGCTTTTCTACTTCCCATCTCTGTCCTTTCCCGTGGCCCCCTGTGGCCCCCAGTGCAGTCTTCCAGGCTCCAGCACTGCCTTTCCTGCTATGGGTCCCGTCTACTGTGTTCTTTATTTCAAACATTACAGCACGCCTACCTCTCTTTCCGCTTGGTTCCGCTTTTATAGCACTTTTTCTTGTTTGTCTGTCAGTTTTGTGTTGCTATAACAGAATATAACAGACTGGGTGAGTTATCATGAATTTTTTTGTATTGTTTAAATTGACATATGATAGTCATATGTCTTTGGGGCTCCATGTGATATTTTGATCCACACATAAAACGTGTAATGATCAGATCAGGGTAACTGGGATCCATCCAACCTATCCATCACCTCATTGATTCATCTTTTCTTTTCAAGACTGTTTTTTCTACCTCCCAGTGCCTCTTTCGGCCTCTTCCCTTCATCTCCAACTATTTTCAGGTGAGTAACAGTAAAAGGAGGTCTCTCCCTGGGTAGAAACGTGCAGTCCTTATTTGGCGGGGGGTTGGGGGGCACACAGGGACAGCTAATGTGAGGGCTACACTGGTCACCCCAACATCATGAGTCCCCAGTCTTGGGGTCTGGGGTCAATTTGTACTTGGCTCTAGAGGCAGAGCAGGAAAACCAAGTTTTCCTCCACCCTCAGGCTGCTCTGCCCCTCCCAGCCCCTTCCAGGGTGCTCCCAGGGGCCCTTATTTGCTATGCTCTTGGCCCCCCCACATCCACCGAGGGCTGTGGGTAAGAAGACAAGAGGCTGTGGGTCTGGAGTGTTAGGCCATCTTGACAGAAGCCTAAAGAGTGTCCTCAGCCGACAGCACGGTGTCTGCTGCACAGCTGCTCCATTCCCATGGTACCTCAAGGGAGAGGTATTTATCTACTAGCTGGTAACAGCCACGACATACACACTTTTCAGCAAAACACAAAATGGGAAAGTAGATATTAAAGACTAGCAAGATGGTCTAGGGGAGAAAATTGAGTTTGGAGGCAGGAAACACACAGATCCCATTGTGCGAACGTTCTGCCACTGACGTAGGGGCTGAAATGCGGCATCCACCATCTTGGAATATCACACACATTTCTTCAGTTATATTCCCAAATATTATAACTTTTAAAAAGAATGGAGGTAGAAAAACCATGGCTTCTTTTTTACTACTAAAAATAAATGGAAAGATTATGCTTCAACTCAAGCAAGGACTTAAATGACTCCTTTTTAATAAGGGCCTTTTTTTCCCCAAAAGAAAGTCCAGTTTCCAGTATGACCAATCCTGGTACTAAGTCACCTCCACAATGAACAAAATGAGGAGAGGGTGTTCTTGGAAATCACAAAGCAGTGAGCTGCCTGTGAACAGATCAGAAGGAAGAAAAAGGATCTTTCACTCTCAAAGAGCAAAACCCAAGCCTCCACCAGTAGTCCCGAATCACAAAAAAAGAAGACAGGGTACACTCATGTCTGTCACCTGGGCTCCTAGGACCCAGTGAATGCCTTGGGCCCACGTGGGTTAAGATCCCTGTGGGAGAGCCCAGGTGAGCGGGTCCCAGGATACTGCAGGGGCCACTCACCAGCGCAGGGCAATCTTGATGGGGGTGGTGAGGCAGGAGGTGAACAGGTCAGCTGGGAGGTCAGGGATCATGGGCAGCAGCTCCGTGGCCTCGCAGGCTGCCAGCTGGATGCAGTTTTTCATCGACGGAGGCAAAGGCATCTGAGCAAGAGGGTGATTCGGGTTGATTGCAGCTACCTGAAGGGCAGAACATTTGGGAAAAGAGAGTGTGACTTAGCTGGTGGTCACAACCAAAGAGTAAGCTGGAGCTGTAACACAGAAGGAAACAATAAGTCAACTCAGGTGGTGGGCTTTCACTGGCAAGTCCTCTGGAGAGAGGCATTGCTCACAGCTGAACTGTCTCTGGAGGCGACTTTAAGGCTGGAAAACTCGGCCGTTTCATTCCCAAGGCCCTTCTGACAGCACAGCCTGGTTGTGTCTCTCTCAACTCTGTTTTCTTCAGTTTTCCTCTTTGCAGGCCCCTACTCACCCTAGGATTGCAGTGGTGTCCACCAGGTCTTTCATGGTGTCTTACGGTTTATTTTAAACGTTCAATCATTCATCCATCATAACCTTATTTTGTTGTGTTTAATGACACAGGAAGACGTTCAGGTGACGATGTGAACTCCATCCCCCCCACCACCACCAGCAAACACAAAACATGAGTGTGAGTGTGCTGACTAAAGCGACCCATCAAGAGACTGAAAACAGAGAGCGCGCTCATCCCAGAGGGGGCGTTACAGTGATTTTATTTTCTCCCATCTTCATCCAACTGCTCTAAATGTTCCACAAACCAAGGTGCATTAATTCTGTAATCAGAGAGAAAGGTGAGGTGTTTTTTAAATTCAATACTTTATCTCTCTTTAAAGTAGGGATAGTAATGCCGGCTGGTATTTATTTCAATGAAATTTTGGTAATGTAAAAGTATCATATGTGAAGCTGATACCACACTGCCTTTTAGGAAGAAAGGTACCAAGTGAATTGTTGTTTTCTACTAAAATGCACAGAAATTTTCACTTTTTACCAAATGACATTTAATTGAAAGTGTAACTCTTCCTTCTTTTTAAATAATGCATTAGGTTCAAACGTTTAAAAATATTATAGGACTGTCTGATACACGAGTTTACTACACTGCCATAGGTAACCAGGTGGGTTCCTGTTTTACCAGAAATACACAGCATTCAACAAAATGCAGGATCCTTATACCACCAAGTACAATTATTCTAGCATTGAGATAGTGATTCCTTTCCCTGGCTACCTACATTGCCTGTATGTGACCATTTTGGTAATCCACAAGCGGTTTCTCTGTCGTTTTCAGAAATAATGAGGTTCATGGCCACAAGAATTCATGGCACTGTGGCCAGTAAAACTGAATAATTATAACACATGAGGGATTATGTACACACACTGCTCTGCCTACTTCTGGAAATAAGTGTAAAGAACTGGAAAATATCAGAACCAGTTCTGCCAAATAGAATGCTTTCAGCTGGGGAGGCACAAGCCTCCCACAAGCAATGCCTCCCTTCTGGGGATGCAGAGTCCTCAGACACCATGGGATGCAGGGAGGGTGCACCTGCTGGAAGGGAGGCCCCAGGTACCCTGGGAGAGCTCAGCTCGCAAAGCCCCTCCGTTGGTATCATCAAGGTCGGTTGTTAGGGGGAGAGGGACAAGGGTAGCAGCCAACAAAGAGACAGGGAGTAGATAAAACATGAGGAAAGTACCACAGGCTGCTGGAGATGGAATCTGCATTGTCTTCACTTCAGCTACCCTGAAATGTGATGTATGAGCATCATTTAGATAGCTAAAGCAATGGAAAAAAAAACCAAAATACTGATCACACAGGGCCATACAGCTTGCAGAACTCCTTCATTCACTTGTCCACAAATAACTATTATTTGGTTGCAAGGGAATTCTGCTGTAGGGTCCCAACCTCGTCTGCCCTTCCAGGCCGGGGATGTGCTACCGAACGCAGCTTCAGACCAAGAGCACCTCCTGTTGACCATGCAGTGCTGCTGACCACGCGGCCAGCCTGAGGGCCGGCCGGACCATCGCGTTACAGAGGCTGGTCGCCCCATATCCAGAGCGCAGACACTGTTGTGACTTACACAATTCCTAGAGCTTGTTTTGTGCCTACCACAGGGACCAGATCACTTTTCTGTTGACTCAGACTGTGGCAGGCCTCCATGAAGAAGAGGCACTGAATACTGTCAATGACGATGAACGTGGGGTGGGGGTGAGATGAAGCCGGAACACATGGCCTTTAATCACCGAAGGCCATGAGCTTCACGGCTTGACGTGGGGAGAATGTGTCTGTGTCTGCATTTTTGCTCCTCCCTTCTAGTCACATAGTTCTTAGTATTTCTCACAGCTCTTTCACATACACTATTTCATTTGCTTTTTACCATCCCCATGTTAAAAGAGCTTTGACGATAAGGACAAAGAGGCCCCAAGGATGACACGGACTGCCCAGCAACTGGGCCAGCACATAGGTCCAGAGTGCTGGGCAATGCCCCTGATTTTAGGGCCACCTTTTGCCCATCATCCCATCTGGATCCTCCTGAGTCTCTACTAAGCACCCACGATGCCAACATGAAAGCTGCCCAGTCCTCTCCAGACAGCACTCCCAGCACCTCTGGAATGAAATACACACACGACTGTGTTCACTCACAGACAGTTCACGCTGTGATGATGGCATAGAATGCGCTGTCATCTGACTGCTGACAAACTTTGTTTTAACATCTCAAATTTCTCAAACGGAAGGTACTAATGACTGCTAGTTTTATTAATAACCCATTCTAATACAGGAACATTAAACTCAGAGTACAAATCAAATTCTCATATACTTAATAATAAATATAATTTAAACTTTTCAATAAAAACTGCTATTTCTAGAGGAACGAGGTTTTCTCATTATGGTAAATTATACGTAGCATAAAATTTGCCATGTTAACCATTTAAAATGTACGGTTCCGTGGCATTAGGTATATTTACATACTGTGCAACCATCACCAAGTGTCACCAAGGAGTGGGGTTTTTTAAAGAAGAGGGCAGAGGGAAGGCAAAATCCTCTTTAAAACCATTTCCTGGGCTCTATGCTCTATAAGCTAAAACAGCATCGGCAATGCAACCTGCTCTACACAGAAAATGAGTTTCCAGGTCTGCTGTGACAGGCCCACCAAGCCAGATGATGGGTCCAGGCACAATGTGGGCCTGCAGCTATTCAGACCCGCATCACAAAAGGCGGATGGATGTGGGCCTGGAGCTGGCAGGGCAGAGGAAGGCTGTGAGGAAGTGCTCTCTGACTCCTGCGCTTGGTGGAAACGCATTCTCCCCTGCCTCCAGAAAGGGCTGGGAGGGAGGAGGGAAGGAGGCAGCTGAGGCAGACCTCCGTGAAATGAAGCCTACGGCCTGAACTGGGGAATGCGGCGTTTGCCATGTCTGTTGGGACTTCTGGCAGACTTGTGCTATTTTAATCAGCACCACTACCACCAGCCATGTAAAAATGGCTGGCGGAGGATTAAAAAGGAAACAACTTTTGAGTGGGAGGAAATGGCCCTTTATGCAAAAACTAAGTTCAATATTCCCATTTTCCTTTTCAAAGGGATGTGTATATAGCAGAAGTATAGCAAAAGTATCAGTGTGGTTTACTAGTTTTAGCTTTTCTTTTTATATAACCAAGTGCAGTGGCTCACACCTGTAACCCTAGCACTTTGGGAGGCTAAGGCGGTCGATCACTTGAACCCAGGAGTTCAAGATCAGGCTGGGCAAGATGCAAACACTCCCATCACTCCAGAATCTTTTTTTTTTTTTTTTTTTGGTGACGGAGTTTCACCCTTGTTACCCAGGTTGGAGTGCAATGGCGCGATCTCGGTTCACTGCAACCTCTGCCTCCTGGGTTCAGGCAATTCTCCTGCCTCAGCCTCCTGAGTAGCTGGGATTACAGGCACACGCCACCGTGCCCAGCTAATTTTTTGTATTTTTAGTAGAGACGGGGTTTCACCATGTTGACCAGGATGGTCTTGATCTCTCGAACTTGTGATCCACACGCCTTGGCCTCCCAAAGTGCTGGGATTACAGGCTTGAGCCACCGCGCCCGGCCCAGAATCTTTTTTTAAAATTAGCCAAGTGTGGTCGTGCATGCCTGTAGTGCTGGCTTCTCAAGAGGCTGAGGTGGGAGGATGACTTGAGCCCAGGAGTTTGAGACCAGCCTGGGCGAGATGGAAAGACTTCCGATTCCACAAAAAAATTGTTTAAAATTAGTCAGGTGTACTGTGTATGCCTGTAGTCCCAGCTACTCAGGAGGCTGAGGTGGGAGGATTCCTTGGGCTCAGGAGTTAAAGGCACCAGTGAGCTGTGATGACACCAGTGCACTCCAGCCTGGGTGACAGCAAAGCCATCTCTAAAAACAAACAAAAAGAGCCCCCCAAAACGAAAACCCTTCATTTTTGTAAGTTGCTTCTGTGTTAAATTTACTCTCTAAACAGAACTGAGAATTGAGCCAACAGGTCCTCCTGCCGTAGCCTCAAACACTGCAGTCCCTCCATCGCTGCCAACCATTTGTGCCAAGCTTCTGAAATCTAACACTTCTCATACCAATACCACCTTTCTTCCAAGTCAGCACTAGAACGCAGGATGGCATGGGGTGGTGGGGCGAGTCTCCAGCGTACAGAAGCCACATGAGAACTCAGCAGGTGTGAAGGGGACTTCCTTAGGGACCAAGAAGCCTGTGTCTTGTCTGGTGGAGCGCAAAGCTCACGTGGTCCAGATCCGCTGGGTTTATGCCCGCCGTTCCTATCTCAGCCTGCTCCCTGGGATATGCGGGCACTTGTCCCAATGCCTCCTGCAGCATGTCGGACGCCGGAAGCACTCTGTGGTTGCCCAACGAGGCAGTCAGACAGGTAGATATAGAAACAGCTTTATCCCAAATAGAAACTTCATTTCCCCATTCAGTGTGGCCATTCACAGAAACCCCAACTACCTAAGAAGCCCCCAAGGCACGCTGGTGTTAGACAAGACATACACTTTGGCAATGATCAACGGTAAAGGCAATGACAGTGCCTCCCTCACCTGGTACCTGTCCACCCAGCCTAGGAGGAAGCATGCTGAATTCTTTCTTTCCCACCACACTACTGGGTGCACAGAAGAGTGCATAGGAGACCTCTTTGCTTTAGGGGTATCGAAACCAATAGCATTTTTTT